TTTTTTTTTTTTTTTTTTTGGTGGTGGTACTCAGGACCTTGTGCTTGTGAGGAAGGTACAGTGCCACTGAGCTAAATCTCTGGCCAGATTTTATTCTTTGACAGGAGGCTGTAGCTCCCGACCAAGGGATGTGTGAAGTGTGAAGGCTCCAGAGGCTGGGGCAGGAGAGAGCTCCCAGAGTCTGCCAACCAGAAACACCGAGTCTCAGCTCTGCCCTCCCAAGCTGTGGGGCCTCAGAACCTGGCTCCACTCTGTGCCTCAGTTTCTTCACCCAGGACAGAATCCACCTCCCAAGAGGCAGACAGGGCCAGGACCAGCACGTAGCCAGTGCTCAGTACGTGTCAGCCCACTGCCCACGGCCCAGCCCAGGGAGAAGATGGGCACAGGCTGGCCACCTTGTTTCTTTCACAGAGGACAAATTCTCGCCCTGGTGAGCCTTGGCATTTTGCCTGAGCTCATTGCCTGAACAACCTCCAGGGTCCCCAGGGCTGGGCTGCAAGAAGCGACTGCTGAGGGAGGGGCAGGTGTCAGAGGTGGACAGGGGAGGGCAGGGGACACCCTATGTCCCTCCAAGCTGGATGGGGTCGGCTGAGGCTCCCTGCCTCCACCCTGCAGACAGGTGGGGCAGGTAGTTGGGTACAGTTTTCTCCACCACCCTGGGTGCCCCAGCTGGGACCCTGGGGCTCCTGGGAGCCAGGCAGGCTCTCTGCAGTAAGAAGGCACCTGGTTGAGCAAACTGGGGTGCAGAGAAAGGGCGCTCATGGGCACCCCTCCACTGCCCGGTCTTGCACTAGGAGGAGGCTCCTGAATGAAGGAGTGGAGAGGAGAGGGTGCATGCGCCGGCCCGATCTAGGGGAGCTGTGGGCCAGTGCGGGGCTGGAGCGTGACCATTGTCGGTTCCCCTGGCCCTGCACACTGTCCCCAGGGCAGTGGGATCCCAGGTTGCCTGGCAAAGCTGCTTCTGGGGCCCAGGCCTGTCAAGGTGGGGCGAGGGTCTCTAGACCTACTCAAGGCCACAGGCTGGGGCTGCCCCTTGTGACTGTCCCTTCCCAGGTCATCCCAGCAAGGCCCTTCGCTTTCCGAACAAGGGTTGTCCTCCCAAGCCAGGCATCTTACATGATCCACAGATGGCCCAGCAATCTTTAAAACACATATGCTTTATTTTAGTGTGCGTTACCAAAAAAACAAAGCCAACACATTAAGCCTGTGATTTCACAGACAAAACACTCTGGACAAGATCAGGTAAAGAAAGGCCTGTGAAATGAGTGGAAAACAGGGAGCAGTACAGGGATCTGCAGATGTCAGGCCTGGACAAGCTGGGTTTGGGATGCTCTCTCTCCTCCCTCGCCTCTCCCCTTACCTGGCTGAGGGGGAAATGGGTACAGGGCACCTGGGGGCTCCCACCTCCACTGGGACCAGAGGAACAGCCCAGGCCCAGCAAGGGTGCTCCCAGCCTCTGCTGCTGGTCTTTCCTGTTTGTCAGGCAGGCTGGCTGACTCCAGGCTGGCTGGGGCCCTCGTCTTTCACCCCTGGCTGGGGTGAAGTGAGAAGGAGCAGATGCGAAACTCCACCCCAGGGCCGGGCCCTGGGCCAGGTGTGTCTGGGCTGTGGCTCCCTCCCACGCCCACACAGGCCTCAGGCCAGTGTCTGGGGCAGCTTGTCTCTCCCCAGCTCTGAAGCTCCAGCAGCATCTCCGCCAGCCCAGAACCCCGGGATCCTGGCTGTCTCAGGCTCTGCACCCCTTACCTGCTCTGAGTGCGCATTCCCACGGCTCCTGTTTCCTCCCAGCTATGTGGCTTTGGCAGGTAGTGCCAGCTCTCTGGTCCTCGGTTTCTTGCCTCTGGATGGCTTGTCAGCCCCACACGAGCAGTAGTGAGTCCCTGGGGCTCCCCTGGCCCCCTTCTCCCTTACCTGGAGCAGAAAGGCAGAGATTCCAGGCTGGGTATCAGGTCAGTCACAGGTCTCAGGGGAGACCTCTGTGGTCTCCTTCCTGGGGGCCCCTCTTGTCTCTCTATCATGCAGGATCCCTGGAGAGGTGGAGCCAGTCCCCGAGGCAGTGAGGGGCTCTGCCAGGGACCTTACAGCACCCTCAGGCCCTCAGGGACAGTAGGTAGCCAAGTGGTGAGGCTGGCAGAGCAAGAGCAGAGGCTTCCAGCTGCCACACCTGCAACTCCGGGGGAGTGGCCAGCGGTCAGGCGATGGGGACCTGGGGTCCAGCACTGAGGGCACAGCCTCCCCTCTGAGGGCTCAGGGCCCCGCTCCTGCTCTCTGTGCAGATGGTGAGAGGTCAGTCATCCTGGTGAGGAGGGGGCAAGAGCCAGAGTCCACGGAGTGGAGTCAGGCACTTCTAAGCCTCCTGGTACAGAGAGCCCCATGAAGGGGGCCATCATACGGGGGCCAGAACCCAGATTTAGAGCAAGCATCCCGTGACAGCCCCTGCAGGCCAGCTATCACTTCCACAGAAACGCGAGCTCCTGTCCTGGGCCTGCTGCTGCTGCCTGTGGCCACTCAGGAGAAGGGGTGCCCGCCGCCTGCTGTGGGGACCAAGGAGAGGAGAGGGGAAGCCTAGATGGCCAGGCGCAGAGACAGTCTTGGCGGGCAGAGTCAGGCCCCGGTAGCCTCAGCCTGGAGTTCCGGGGGACAGGGTGCCCCCACCTGCCTCCACTGTGGCTTGCTGAGCTGTTCCCGTCACTGACCCCAGAGCTGCCAGGCCAGGTCACAGAAAGCACCAAGGTCAGCAGCCTGGAGCTGAAGGTGGACCCCTAATCCTAACCCCCAATGCCCCATTTTCTTTCTGCTGGGAGGAGGCATCTGTTTTCCATAGAAAAATCTCAGCACTTGGAAGGCTGAGGCAGGAGGATCACTGCAAGGTCAAGATTAGCCTGGGGTACACAGTGAGTTCAAGTGAACTACATAGCAAGACTCTGTCTCAAAAAGCCAAACAAAAAAAGCACACCAGAGGGGAAAAAGACAGATCTGTGGTAAGTAGGGCCGCCTGAGCCCCCTTTGCCCCTGGGAGGGGCTGAGGGGCTCCTTCAACCTGAATGGGTCCGAGGGGCAGGAGGCCACTATCCCACAGTAGACAGGGGTGCCTGTGTTGAGTGGAGGTGGCTGAGAGCGTGCTGCTGTACCACTCTGAAATGCAGAGGCCCGAGAGTGAGGTTACACTCTCCATAGGGGGATGACCGTCCCCCACCCTGGGAACTGGACTCTTGTCCTCCATGGCCACCCCTGCAGTGCATTCCAGACGCATCAGTCTGGGGCCAGTTCTGCTGTCAGGGTCTTGAACAAGCCAGGTCCACTCTGTCTCCTCCTTGACTGAAGTTTGTTTTGCCAGTGTGACACGCAACGATGTCAGCAATGCACTCAGCCCAGCGCGGGTCCAGAGCAACCCTGGGTGAGCCAGGGCCAGTGCTATGGCACACGGTGGCAGCAGACTCTAGGCCTGGTGCCTGGAACGTTCCCGCCTCCAGGTGAGTGCTGGGAACCTAGAGCAGGAAGCCTGGGTGGGCGCCCCACCCAGATCCTCCGCAGGAGCTGCAAAATCAGGAGTGGCCCCATTCCCTGGGTGGGTGGCCTTAGTACAGAGTTTAAATTCCTGGCACCTCAACTTCGTCTTCCAAGAAATGAGAATGATTATAACAGCACGGACATCCCTGACTGGGGATAGTTCTACCTAAAGATTTTTCACTTTTTCTTTCTTTCTTTTTTTTTTTTTTTTTTTGTTC